CATCAACTGGGTATTTATATTAATATTTCTCGACAGCATACTAATTTTCTGATTGTGGTTGGGCACTCGGACAATTATACGTCTGGCTGTTACGGCCATTAATACATTGAAGTATTTCCCTACTTATTTAAATATTTCAATTAATAAATGTTATAAATGGGTTCAAATAATGTTTCCTTGCTTAAGGGAGTCTTTTCAAATAAATACAAATATTTATATTAAAAACCTTTCTAATATTATAAATTGTATTATTTATGACAAGCTACGCTTAAACGTTCAGCTACTGGGACATTTACCTTACATACGTTTTAAACAGATCGCCGATATATGAACGACGAATTCAAATGGCAAACGTGATTACAAAATGTAACGCTACTATGTTATATTTATCCAGCTCAATTAAACATATTACGGTGTGGTCGATCCCGTTGACGTACTAACGAGTGACGCGGTGACCGCTCCACGAATAAATAACTGAATTGAACATCATTCGAAAATACTGGCGGCAATCTCACTTCAATGCTGCGCGAACGACGCGAGTCGGTTCGATTCGCGAAATGATCAGATTTTTTCTGACCCAGACAGCACGCTTGTCCAAAATCAGGACATAAGATATCTTGAAGATATCTTAAAGACGTCTTTAAGACATTTTATGCCCCGATTTTTCACGAACAATTTGAGATTCACTCAATGACAGACTCCGAATAAAATTATAATCCGAAATTTAAATGTAAAGTGAGGAATGAGAAAAATATTCGATTTCATAGATCTATATAATTCCCCTGCAAACAGTAAATCTAAATTAAATCGGGATATAAGATGTCAGTGGTATCTACAATAGTAGAGTATAATAAGCCTTATGCCGTAAAAAATTGGCCACATAATCGATTATTCTCCTTATATTCAACTGTGATTGATATATTTCTTATTGCTTAAAGCTGACTTTTTATACACCAGTAAAATGCTATTATTATTAAAAATTTTTCGTGAGCAGATGATGCACTTTCAATCGATTCTCGAAAATTTGAAATTACATGACATTTTAAAGCTTATTGCACTAAAAAGGTAATCAGATAATAGTTACATCAAGTATTTAATCAAACAATTGCAATTAAATGTTCAATTAATATAACCAAAAATAATTTTACTTTTCTATAAAATATTCAGTAGATAAATATTATCAAACGATTGATTATATTATTAGTTTTGGTAATACTTACTAAATATTTAGAAAAATCAAATATTTTTTATTATAAACTAGAGCGAGATTTTTTCATCCATTTCTCACGATAATGTTTACATTTATGAATAGCACATATTGAATTTTTCGTGGTTATTCTTGTGTCATCAAGGAACAATTATGATTGTATAATGTAGTTGTAAGCACGTCACTGCAAAAAGATATTGTTTGCTATATCGGTTTTTCATATTATTTTAAAATTGAAACTGACAGAATAGTCCTACTCTATTAACCGAATATTTGATTGTAATTATTATTTCACTCAACATTTGTTTTAGTGTACTTACTTTATCGTAGATATCGCGTTAAAGACACCTCAAAGATATGTTTAAGATGTCTTATGTTCCATTCTTCGAGGTGCTATTTGTAGAGAATGATACAGATTTACTTATTAAATCGAATATTTTTCGCGTTCCTTATTTTATATTCAAATTTTGGATTATGATTTTATTCGGAATCTATCTCCGAGTAAATGTGAAGTTGTTCGTAAAATGCTAATCGCAGTGACCATTGACCCCTTATCAGGCGGTGCCGAGCTATCTTTCAGGGCGAATTTCATTCTGAATTGGAGAAGGAGCGTTAGGATTTCGTGTAATATCGCAGTCGACGGCGACCATTATCGTGTCCCATTGCATCCCATCGTGCGAGTGGAATTTTTTAATACCGCCATTCGATCTGAAAGTCAGATGAAATCCATTCCGAAAGATAATTTGCGATCACGGATCGAAGCACGATTTTAAATCGCAGAATACAATTGAGTTCCTCATGTGTGATAAACTGCGATGTCACAAGTAAGTTTCGAATCGATCCGACTTCAAATTTGCTTTTGTCATCTGCCGTCAATGAAGAGAGGAGGATTTTCAGATTCGCATAATCCGGAAAAGCAGATTCCAAATCGTTAAAGTTCAATCACACAACATTCGTCTTTCCGTTAATTAAGCGAAACTGATTACCAATAATTTAATTAAATTAATTAAATATCGATAATTAGAATAAGTTAAATTAGTTGTCATTACATGAGCAGTTGGATGTAATAATAACGGATGAAAATAAAGTTAATGGATTTATTAAATAACTAATTAGCAAGTACAATAAGTAGAATTTAATATAAAATTATGTAACGCTTTGTGCTTAATGTTTATTGTCTTGCACTCTTTCTTCCTCTTTTCGAGCTCCCTCTCTTTATTCAAGAATCAATAATATAAAAATAATGCGCTAAAACATACATTTGTTAATCTGCAATAGCATTGGCCACTGGTGCATCCATCTAGCAGTAGTCATTAACAACTATCTTCAATTTCTCCGAATGATTTATCGATAAAATGATTAAAAATACTGCAATAATTTTGTGTGAATCTCATAAACCGCAGCAAAAGTAAATTAATTCAATTGTTAACCCTTCTATTGGAAATAAATAAGACAGTAATTTGAGATGAAATCGGAGAGTGGACATGTCTGCGGTTTTAGGTGTAATCTATATTAATAAAAGTAGCTCAAAAGTCCGCCACTGTTGGACTCACATCATATTAAAGAATTTCTAAGAACTTATTGAACGACAGATCAATTAGACCCAAAATGGCAGTCGAAGTAGCCAAAAGAAAAACGCAATAAAAGCAGTCAATAAAAACGTGCTCTAGGCGAAAATAAAAATTCAGAGTGAGTTGAATGTAAGAGAAAAATAACAGAAGAGTAAACAAAGCTTTTAGAAAGCGAAAATTAAAACAAAAAATTAAAAAGAAGCTTAACCGCCTCTGTTATATTCTGTTGTTCCAATTTTTGCCTCCTAGAAACTTAATTTGTTTACGCATCTGTTATCACTGTTAGTCTGTTTTTACATGGAGCTCAAGTTTTGACAAAGCGCTCGTGTGTAGATAGAACGGATTAAACTGAATTGAAAAGTCTTCTACCATTTTGCAATTTTCGCAATAGTTGACAAGATATGATATTAATTATTAAAAATTGCTGAATATTGGATTTAATAATTTTTTACTCACAAATGCTATCAATTTTACAGAAAAACAGTGAAAGATAAAAATTGTTTACTTTCTTCTCATAAAATTCTGAGAATTTTTTTAGAATTTTTTCAGAATTTTTTAATACCATATTTTCTCATGTTAATAAAAATATTTGTCAAAATAAGAAAATGCAGCACTATAAAGTTGATAAAAAATTTTGAATAAATTTTTAGTTCTATGAGAATAAGATTCTAATAAATAACTTTTATCTCTCACAGTTTTTCCGTAAAGTTAAGTATTTGAGAAAAAAATTATTGAAGGCCAATATTCGGCAATATTTAATAATTAATATTTTGTTAACTTTTGCGAAAATTGCAAAATGGTACAGAACTTTTCGATTCAGTTTAGTCCAATCTATCTACATAAGAGGGCTTGGTACAAAATTTCGGGACACCCAGTAAATATATAAATACATATGCATGTAAAACCTTATTATATAAGGTGCTGTGCACGCGTCTTCATTATAATAAAGTTTTCACTGTCAATAACAGTTCAGATCAAAACAAAATAAAATTTTTGTAATAGTTTAAGATTGGCCGAATATTTCCATATTTTATTCATACTGATTGGATGACTAATTTCTGAAAAAAAATCGTAAATGTAGTCATTTTTCAAGATTAGATATTTTATCACAAAAATTATTGATTTAAACAAAAACGTCTCAAAGACAAAAAAAATGCCTATATTGATCCAATTAAGCTCATGAATTTTTTCAGAATGTTTATTAAAAGTTTAGATTTTTTAAACAAAAAATTGTAACAATTCAATAACCACATAAAAAAATAAAGTGTATATAGATGTTTTTTTATAGAATAATATGGGGAATCCAATTAAATAATTTTCAATAATAATAATAAAAAGACATAAATATTTTAAACGATAATTACTGCATGTTTTAGATAAAAATCAAGTTTTTAAAAATGTAAAAAAATTGCCTGTACATAGTTATATAATTATAAATATAAAATATTAAAATTATGAGCAATTCTTTAACATTTTTCCAAACTTGATTTTTTCTAAAACACACAATGCGAAAATTATCACCGTCAAATGTTTATGAAAGTTCATACATGTTTATGAATATTTATACATATTTATATGTATACGTAAATTTTTTTTCGAGAACAATACATGTATCACTAATTTTTATGCATCCGTACATTAAAGAGAAACTTTGATACAAAATATAAATGTCTTTTACTTTCAAGTAAAAACATTCTTTAATAAAACGTTTTTGTTCGATATTTAAATGAAAATCGACTTTGATGTTGCACAATTAATAAGTTACCTAATATGACAAAGTTGAATAACTGCACTAAAATTATATTTGTTGCCGTTCACGTTCTATAATCAATCTAACTTACTCATTTGTTACGAAATTTCGTCACAACTCTCTAGAAGAGAATGCTCCCTTTGCCCAGAAATTGATTGCCTACAGCACCATTTGCCTGCATTACATATTTCCCGACAGTTCATTTATGCACAATAATTAATGCCTACAGTTCGATTGCCTACACGTACTATTGTCCACAAACATAAATTTAAGAGGAAAAGGTACGCGTACACACACACGACACAAGCGCTTTGTCAAAACTTAACCGTCATACTATATCTATATATTATTTTCTCAGGCAGCACTTTGCAGGACTCGACGTTACCGACCGTTTGTAAGTCGCGCAGTCCGTAGTGCACCTCTCTAACCGACAGGGAGCGCTTCATCTGATAAGATGTCGCGTCCGCGACGATGGCAACCACGCAGAATCGTGCGAGATCGAAAGATCATGGTGTCGTACGACGTGTCGTCCAGCGCATCGAGCCGCATCGTCCGCAAGAATGTAAATAAAGCGCCGCTTAGCTGACCAGTCCGAGTGTAAGAGGCGTAAGAGCACGTCGCCGCGAGACCCGCAATATGCGCGTAGCCGAATACGCGACGACAACCGGCCCGTTGAGCAATCACCAAAGGTGCGTAGAAAGATGACCCGGTCTGTCCCATCGTTCCCATCGAACCACCCGACTTAGCGACGACACACGTCGTCCTGGGGATACCTGCGTGTCACGTCCTGCTCTCCGTCGTCCGTCCAACGATTTCAGACACGTCGATCCAGGCCGCTTTACTCCCGGATCACGCATGACGGACGCTCGTATTCACGCGCCCACTATTCATTAATGTGCATATATATATATATATATATATATATATATAATTATATATCGGTATTATGATAGTTTGTGTTGATTTGTATGCGGGTTGGTAGGCACGGGCAGAGGATATGCGATAATTGTCAGTCATTTCGATTCCTAGGACAAATTGTCGGTTTTGTTTAGCAACGGTAAAATTTTAGAGCGAATAGATTCTTCTTTGTGGAGAATAGAGGTTCATAAGAAAATAGGTGAAACGAATGACAGGTGTGAAGGCAATTCGCTTTTCAAATGAGGTAACAGCAAAAAAGTACTTTACATATGTTGCATAACACTTTTTTTGTTCTTAGTATGAAAAACATTTGCTTTACATTTCTGTTGATCTGGAAGTTTACTGTTGATTTCTGTCAATTTACCAATTGACGGTTAAATCTTGAAGAGAGAAAGAGATAAATATTTACAAAGATTTATATCTTGAGAGCGTTGAGAGTGAAATTTTTAATTCCTTTTTAATTCTTGTATCTCGAGTGTTTTATCTCCAGCACACTTGTAATGATTCATTTAACCATTATATTTCAATCAGTTTTTTATCGTATGTGATAAACCAAGAAAGTGATATCTACAGATTTGTTTGTTAAAGAATTAAATGTTATTATCTCCTTGCTACTCTTCACAAAATTAATACTTTAAATTTTGTACCATTTTTTAATTAAATATTGCTACAATTATGATTATACTTTTAGAAAGCATGTTTATATATTTACTTTGAAATAATTCTTGACTAAAAAATGTTTTAATCTCTAATTTATAAGCATTAAGATGCAGTAAATATTACTCATAAATTTTTAACTGTTATTAGTCAAGTTGATGAATAATATTTGACCAAATAAAAAAATCACAGATTAAAGAGATCAAACTAATCAAAACATTTATTCATTAAAAAGCAAAACAGCAACATTTTACTAAATAATTTACAGATAAAAAAATATGATATTTACCGAATACTAAATAAAATTAATTAATGGTTAATTAAATTAAAATTAAAAAATTATTGTATTGTGCATAATTAATTTTCAAATATTAATATATTTTTTGTATGTGGTATATTACATATTAACAAATTTTTATTGGCAAACTAATAAGTTTATAATATAATGATATTATTATTAATTTATGAAATTTTAATTTTTCTTTAATAAGCCAAGCTTCTGTTCTTTTGTTCAGAACACAAAAGTCTTAAAAACAGAATTCCATTCTATGACAATCTGTTTTTACTGGCTTATCATTAAGTTGTGTGTCTTTTCCTTTGTTTTTCTCTTTCCTATTCTCCCGTTATGACTGATAAACTATTTAATAGGCGTGCATGAGTAGGCAGCTGTGATAATTTACTACCAGAAGAAATAACAGTTTTTGCGTTATCTATACTGACTTAAGTATATACTGTATGTAATTATCTTTAGGGATAATTCGTATGTTTCTACAGAATATCTCTAGAAATATCTTTAGAAATAGTAACGATATATACTCAACATATGGTATGACTGCATAAATTTTGAAACAAAATGTTGCCAACGCGATCATTTCATCAGCTAGTAATAAATCGTTATTTTTGCAGATGAACGTTCCATTGTTTGGCGTTCTCGGAGTTGCCGTTACTCTGCTTGTTTACATCTTCGGCATAGGAACAATTATAAAACTTTCAATCTGCTTGCTTACATTAATTTTAGGGTAAGATAACAATGTCCAATTAAAGAATATATTGTATATAAAATGTACAAAATATTTACAAATATTAAATTGTCCAAAATATGCATTAAAAAAAATCACAAAAAAAGATATTTTCTTGCAGGACATTAATTTGTATATATAGAACGTACTCACCGAATCTCGACAATGTAATTAAGTCTGAAAGGGAAGATTTAACTAAGAAGACTGAAAAGTTCCGGCAGGTAAATGAAAATTTCGAATTTTTTTGTCGTTTATTCGTCACTTGTTACATTACATTCCATGTGTTATATTTGCAGTATATACTAGATCTGTCTAAGGAGAGGATGACATTTACATTAGATAGGAGAATAACTGGTAGTTGTATCATTGATGAATCCCTGCAAGTACATATTTATAGAACAATATTTATAGAATATTTATAGAAGAATATCGAATTACCTATTAATTTTTAGGTTTAATGTATTTGTTACTACTTTTAGGAAATCTTGGATTTCTTAATCAGAGATTATGTGGAACCGTGGTATAGTGTTGTTACGGATGATGAGGAGTTTATCTATTCCGTTCGAGATACTGCCCAAAAAATCGCTATCAATGTAGCAAATCGGTATGTAGAAATATTTTTTATTAATATTTATTTAATTTATTTAATATTTATTTAAAAAGTAGCCTATCTAATTTACCATTGATTAAAGTTCTATTGTCTAATATCACTGTACAAAACAGGGTCAAGAGTGTCGATTGGATACCTTACTTGACTACGCGACTTGTCGACGATGCAGCCTCCCACGTCAGGTTGTACCGACAAGCAAGTGCAAGGATGAAGCAATTACGATCGAACAGAGTTCCGAAAGGTAGTGCTAGCTCAAGCACATCAGGCGGGACTCCGAAGAAGACTCCCACTCATCGACGAAATAAAAGCGAGACCGACGTCTCTTGGTACTCGCAGTCAAAATTTTATACACCTAATCTGTCATCACTTACCGAGCCAATCGAATCATCTGGCGATGAGAAGGAGGACGAATCGCTGGAAAAGATATTCTTTGATCTCGAAGTCCAAATGGAAAATAATCTGATATGCAGAGATCTGGTATGCACAAACGACACCCAGGAATTAGAATTCTTGGGCGAAATATCCGAAATTCTGTTGTACCTGGTGCTACCCAAGGCGGATTTCGATTGTTTAACTGTGAGATTCGTCTTAAGGGAATTGTTAGTGAACGTTATAATCAGGCCGTTGTTGGATCTTTTCTCCGATCCTGATTACATTAATCAGGCGTGTATATGGCTGGTTAGTATCGATGCTCCTTTGATGACGAATTTTGTCAAATATAAATTTGAGATCTTTTGTTCTTTTAATAAGTATAATACATAGTTTATTTAATTCGTTTAAAAACTCATTTCTAAATTTATTTAAAAATGTATTCATATTTGTATTGTTTATTTCGACGTTTTATCACACACTGTATATAGTATTAATACTTCTATCTAAATTATATGTAAAATATTTCAATTTTTTTAGTGTGCTAAGGATGGTGGTTTACCAAGTGATATCTTTTTAACAGTAATTAGATTAACGGACAATTTAGACGAATTAATGGCGACGAAAAATATAGTTTGTAAAGAAATAGCGCACCTGCGATCAAAGGATTCAGGTGGAGATGACGATCTGTCCGTGAAGCAGCAACTGAACAGTCTGGTTTACGTGAAGAAAATCCTAGAGACAAGAATCATCGGTATGCAGGAAGGCTTGGAAACGGAAACGGACGGTATCGGCGCACAACCAGAGTGGAACAGATTGCTCATACCGGGCCAGAAGCTAGTTAATTTACCATTAGATGAGTTGTTGAAAAACAATATCGCGCTCAGTTATTTCATCGATTATATGACTTCCATAAATGCAGAAGCGTACCTGTTCTTTTACCTGAATATCTATGGATGGAGAGTCTCAGCCGAACAACAGATATCGGACATTGAGTTACAGAAGATCCAAAGTACTCAATCTAGTACAGGTATGATCGGCGCTAAACGCAAGAACGCGGATCTGGATAATCTAAAGGAGGCAGCCACAAAGATCTATCAACAATATCTCAGCGATAAAGCGTCGCCCAAGCTGCAACTGGATGACACATTGGTGAAAAACTTCGTTACAAAAACGAAGATAGAATCGGTCAAGGAAACTTGGTTCGACGAGTTGCGAAATTGCTGCTACGAGAAACTGCAAAATGAGGACAGATTCCTGCCAGGCTTCAAGAGATCAATGGCTTACGTAAAATTGCTTGCGGAACTGGATTTGCTGAAGGATCCGGTATCCGAAGATGATGCAAAATCCTTGGACAGTATAAGCTTATCCAGCACGAACAACGAATTAGACACTTTGGATGAATTGTCTGAGACGTGCAAAACCGACGACACGAAACCTGCAGTCGTAAAGGAGGGCGGTACTAAAAAATCGAACTCTTCAACAAGCTTAACAAGCATAGGAGAAGCAAATGAGAGTAAGGAATTTGACGAATTTGATACAAATACGGGCAATTTGAAAGGCGTGAAAAACACACGTATGGGGTCTACCGTAGAAATTGAACAAATTGGTGAAAAGAAGGATATTTCGTTTTATATGGAAACTAATGCGGAGCAATTCGTCAAGCTAGACGAGAACAATTACGATCAAAACGCGATCAAGAAGCTACAGCAAGGCCGCTTTGAGATCACTGCCACGATCATAGAAACTGGTATCGTCAGCGATCGTGGAAAAACATATGGCATATATGCGGTAGCGGTCACGAAGAATTACGATTCGGGCTACAAGGAGAAGTGGCATATCTATAGACGGTACTCCGACTTCTACGATTTGCATCAGAAGATCAAGGAAAAGTATTACGATCTGGCGAAAATACCTTTCCCCGCGAAAAAAGCCTTCCACAATATGGAGCGCACGGTGTTGGAAAGACGAATGTTGATGTTGAACGCATGGTTGTGTCAACTGACGAAACCTGCAATTATGGATGGCCACATGGGATTGCAGAATCTGTTGTTGGCCTTCTTGGAGCAAGGGGATTACGATAAAGGTGTCACTGGTGGACAGATCTCAAGAACGGTAAATATAAATAATTTACTTATTTATTTATAATATACAAGATGTCCATTAATGATCACATAATATCTCATACTATTGTGAGACTTACAAAATGGTACAAGACTTTTTTTGTCCACTCTATCTACTCGAGAGATTATGCGGTCATTACAAAATATCCTGTATATGTATTAATTAATTGCATCAAATTTTGGTTAGAAATGAAAAATTAATTTTATAAAATTATAAAAAATTACAAAATAAAATATATTAATCTTTATAACAATTTTTTTAAATACTAAAAATAAAAAAAAACTAATTGTCTGAATATTTGTTTTATACAGATAGACTCTTTAATGAATCCTTTAAAGACATCTATGAAAAGCGTCACGCAGGCGGTTAAAACAATGCCGGACAATATGCTAAGTACGGTGGACGGCGTAATGGATAACCTGAGCAAATTTTTCGGCAATCCTAAGAAAACTAGTATATTTTACGAGAATACCAAAGTTAGCGCCGGTCTTGATACAGAGGTACTTTTCTATTTTATACGCAATATCGCACCATTCTAAAATATCGAGTCGATCAATTGAATCGTTTAATTTGTGTTTTTCACAGACTGATGACAATATCCCGTTGCGAATTATGCTTCTGTTAATGGATGAAATTTTCGATCTGAAAGTACGAAATCAGTGGCTAAGACGGCGGATTATAACGCTACTGCGCCAAATCATTCGCACGATGTTCGGAGACATAGTAAATAGAAGGATAGTGGAGTATGTATCGTTTATGACTAGCCCGTCAAAAGTTGCGGGATATTTGCGCTTATTCAAGTAAGTAGTTAATACCTCAAGCATAAAATTTCGATATACAATTAACATTCATTAACATTTTAAAAAATAATTCTTATATATATTTTATCATTTTAATTGTTCTTTGCGATGGTTGTAATTATTCAATTTTCAAGAAACAAAGTAAGTTAAGTGAATTAATGACGTTTTGCAGGAATAGTTTCTGGCCGAATGGCGTGAAGGCTGAGAGTAAACCGCCGCGAGACACTGAGATGAAGAACCGAACGCGAGTGGCAGCTAAGATAGCTTTACTTTCGTGTCTCTCGGATGAATTGAAACATATCATAGGCAGCGAAACAACAAGACGCGGTTTGTTAAGAGTGTTCGAATTGTTTCAGCGGCCCGTACTAAACAGAAGATTGTTGTACGTGCTGTTGGAAGGTATCGTCGAGACTCTATTCCCGCAGAACAATCTAGTGACAATTTTCAGGAAACTCTATTCGGTCTCACCGAGAGTGAGAAGTAAAAGTAAAGCAAAGTCCTGATGGAAGAATAAGACAGACTGATGTCCGAATGTAATGGTGTGAAATTTTTTCGATTATGTAGTCGAAAAATTCACAAGTTAAAAATTTCGACTTCATCATCGAATTTCAATAAAATGCATTTCTTGTCTTTGAGTAGCTTAGAAATTCACGATATTAAGAAATACTCGTGAAAAGTGTCCAACGTAAAAGAAACATATTTAATATACATATATGTGTGTGCTTTTAGCCTATTGAGCTTTTTTACATTTTACTTTTCATTTTCTCCATAAAGAAACATTGGAATATTAATAAAATACTATTTCTTTAGGATTAAATTCTTGATTATTTATAGGAAAAGTTCTCTTCATTTTTACTTTTTTATTTTAAAAATAGCAATTATAGCGTGTATGTCGAGTATAACATGTACTTAATATAAGTGTGAATTTAATAGATTTTACTAGTGTCCAGCTCTTCATAAGGTTTCGTTTTATCATTTGTTGTTTCTGAGATAAAATGAAAAGTGTAAAGCTTAATAGGCTAAGGACTCATCAATTGTTACGCTTATTAAGATATTATTGGATGTTTAGCCTCTTCAAACAGTCCTCTGAGCTGCAGTATGCATATGTATGCCATTGCATTGGACACCCGTCGCGCCTATAGCTTTCGACAGGGAACAAAACGAAAGTCATACGCTTTCATATTTTGACGATTTATACGTTCAACGATGCGCACGTCGGAAAAGTTACATCCTGTTGATTTTTCCTCGTTAATTAATCGACGTCGAAAAATTTTTAGAATCTTTCCAATGAGACAAAAATATGTCCTTCAAGCTTTTTCAAAGGGGATTTGCAAACGTAAACATAAGAAATAAGATAATTGAGGATAAAAGATAAGATGATATTCTCTAGAGTTTAGGAAAAATATAAATTACATTGGAATACTAAAAAACTAAGTATTAAAAGCAAGTTTAAGCTTGCTTACTTAAGTGACTTCTAGACGATAATTAGCATTGTATATTATTATTAGGAATGCACCGGATATTCGAAAAGTATCCGATACTTTTTTTTACTGTCCGACCAGATAAGCGGATATTATCAGTATCCGGGAATATATCCGGAAAATATTGGATATCCGACTCGAAAAATTGCCTTCCCGGATATCTAATCGGATATCCGATATCCGATAATTTTACGATTCGGTGCATCCCTGATTATTATTGATCGTCTGGAGATTATATTGAGCCTCCAGATTGTTTTGACTTATTTAAAAAGGACATCAATAATATAAAATAATTGTACAAAAAAATATTGAGTATCTAGAGGCCGCTTTACGACTTAGCTTCTTTATATTCTCTCTTGTTATAAGTAGATTGTTTCTTACGTAATATGTATAATAATGATAAGACTTTTTCTTATTCCTGTTAAACGCAATAAAGTTTTCCTATTTCCTCGAAATAAATTCTACTCAACGAGAATAACTGATTAGAGAGACAGACAGTATAAAACTTTTCCAGACGTGTGCAACTATTCTAAGTGATCTAGTGGCCAAAAAGTACGATATATGAATTTCAATTGTGCGTCTAACCGGGTTTACAGCTCGGGCTGCTACTCTCGTCGTATTAATGTAGAGTATCATAAAAAGAAACTCACGAATTCCTTGTGATTACCTCGTAGGGAAATGCAATAAGGTCCATGGAAACATTCCACTTGCATTTTAAGTTACACTGGCTAGTTAGTTAATTATCCTTTTTACAACTATTCTCAAAACTACAACGTATTAGGTAGACGTAAACAAAACACTGTACACATCATCATTTACTTAAGTTCTAGACGATGCGAAGTATCGCGAGACATAATTAATTTAGATATATAATTTACTGTCGATGTTATTACTTAATTCTTTATGTTGGACTACACTGAACACAAGTTTATCTGTGCCATCCAATTGAGCAATAGGTATTTATTTACATATTAGTGAAAAATTCTTAACAGTAGTCTTGATGGCGCCTTTCAGACATTTTTGCAAATTTATGAGGACTTTACTCCCTTCATTAAAGATGCGAAATACAATTGTATAAAATTGTTGTACATTACTCGTACGTCTGTATAGTTATTTCTATCTCATGTTAAAACGCCATACACTTACCACGTTTACTTATTAAAGGAACTATTTATAATTTGGACAGTTCCTGGTTTCACTCCTAAATGCATCCCCGCCAAAAATATGCGTCTATTTTTGTAGTTAAATACATTCTTGATACCTAGATATGTGTAAAATTGCCAATGATTTTAACATAATTTCTTTTTTTTATCAGAGATTATTGTATTTTTATATTAATTATATATATGTATTGTACAACGAAATTATGTTCTATCATGAATTAGGAAAATTTGTTTTAAAAAAGCCATTGATAAAATTAATTTACTGATATTAAAAATTGCCCTTGAAATTGCTATGAAAATTAAAAAGAGAGTTACATTAGAGAATATATATCACTATTGCACCAAATCCCTCAATTTATTTGGCTCAAGTTAGAGCAATTATTAAACTATAGTCTTATGTACCGGTGGTAAGTCGGAGTTAATAGCGTTTTTCACTGGCAAAGTTGATGTGCACTTTAAAGCCGTTGTACACAAATCGACGTGAAGATGTATGTTTAGTAAAAATATATAAACAAAATTAAACCGCGAAATCCTCAATGTATTTTATTGTGCTATTTGATAAAATACACATTGGGTATTTTATTATCTAAAAACGAATTAAACCGCGAAATTCTCAATTCATTTTATTGTGCTATTTGATAAAATATATACATTGACAAAATATATACATTGAGTATTTTATTAATTAAAATATCTCACTTTTACATTCAGATTAGGTTAATGTACAACAGCTTTAAGGCCGGAATCAGACTACGCACTGAAGAATGAGATTGAAGTTTGACCAATCAGAACAAAAATTTCTTTGTCCTCATTGGTGAAATTTCAATCTTTAATTTTTAATCTCAATCTTCAATGCATAGTCTGATTCCGGTCTAATGTGCACTGAATGCGCACTACTTCTTCCAGTGAAAAACGCTATAAGTGAATGTTTCTGGTTTCGAGCCTAGTTAAGCACAGACTCGGCCATCGATTCAAACGGGCTCGATTGTTCGTTCGTTCGAACGCGTGCTGGTCCTCGCTTTGTCGCCGACTAAGAAGCAAAGAATAGAATAAGGGTGTTCCAAAACAAAAGAAGTTTATTACCGAGCTCGGCCGTAGAAGCACACGGGAACGGGGTGATCGTCGCCACGAAGACGGGGGAGGTAGAAGGGGATGCTCGCGAAAGAAAGAACCGGCCGAGGGGGGCGATCGGTGGTTCCTCCACAGACAACCCCCACCGCTACCCCCAACCCTACTTTTGTACCGCTTCTCTTTAACTAGAACTTGATAAGCCAGCGTGGTTTTTCAACGTCACGCGCGGAAATAGAAATCGTACAAAGGATCTTTCCCAGTAATAATCTTGCTATCAAAAATATCGTAACTAAAATTAACTTTTTGAGGAACCAAAGAGATAGAATTGTTCTCTAATCACTCGTACAATAATTTCCCTTGCAATTTTTTTATTTACGCCGAAGCAAAAAAAAGTTAAATATATCGATACGAAACTAGAAATAATCAGTCAGACTAGAAATAATCTTAGAGATTTGCATTTCCAAATTTCTGCGCACATCTCTGCTGGGGACAATTTACTGGCGCGTAAAATAGTATCGCAGAGGGGGTTGAAGAAGTGATGAAGCGTCAGAGATACATGGGAGGGGGGAGGTATAAGCGTCGAGGGCTTCGTAAGCAATGTAACGAGGAGGGGTACGCGGAGGAGAGGACGAGGGTAGTAAAAGAGAAGGAAGAGAAAGAGAGAGAGAGAGAATAAGGGAGCAAGGGCGCAAAAGGAAAGCGAGAATACGGGCTATTGTGCGAAAAGAATCAGGTATCACGTATGTGTTTTCAGAAGGGGGTTCGTCCGTGGCGCGACGCGGCCCCCGGGCTCTTAGAAAGAAAGAGAGAGACGGGGGAGACGGAAAGAGAGAGAGAGAGAAAAAGACGGGAAAGGGGAAGTTAGCGGGGTATACGTGAACGACTACCGAACGGCCCTCGCTTGCTCCAACGAAAGAAAATCGATATGCATGATTCACGCACGCGAGAGCGTGCCGAAGAGGGTTGGAGGGGGGCAAGCGGCGCGTTCTTGCTAGGGGAGCAGAAGGATGGAAAGAGAGAGAGGGGCCGAGGGGGAAAGAAAGTCATATATCGGAGGGAGAGAATGCCGGGGGAGAGATCGGAGGGGAACACGGGCCACGCTCTCCGTCGCAGCGCACTTCTCTCTCTCTCTCTCTCTCTCTCTCTCTCTCTCTCTCTCTCTCTCTTTCTCTCTTTCTCTCTCTCTCTCTCTCTCTCTTCCCTCGGCCGCCTCGTGTTTCTCGAAACGAAATGGGGGACGTGCCTCTCTGAGTGTACGACAGTAGTACGCACACCGCGCCCGGACACACGCGTATAATTCAATACACGAGCGTTCGCGCGCGTGACGGGGAGGGGTATACCCCGCGATGCTACCCCCTCGGTCACTCGATCAGTCGTGTCCGAGGTACGCGCGTTGTCACGTTAAGCGTCGTGCCGCGTCGCGTCGCGTTGCGTCGCCGCGCCGCGTGTCTCGTAGCTCGGCGGCGACGCGGCACTTCCGGTTAACCGAGTTTTCACCCCCTCCCAAGTAGGGGAAACCGTTGTAATTCCGCGGTGAAGTTGCCGTCACGCGCGCAAGACACGGGAAAACGTGCGTTCTACGCAGCAAATTGTCGCGTCTCTTCGATAGTTGCGTCACCAATTTCCATTTGTATAAACTATCTTTTCGTGTCTTCCGAATTGTAGAGTGTGTTTTTCAAATGGAGTAGAAACTTCAGAACGTATAGTGGGGAATTCTTTAATCGGAACGCACAACGTCTCGAAAGTACGTGAAAACTCTAAAATGTCTTGACAAATTGAGAATACCTTTGAAATACCTCTGCGTCATTCTTTTTATAGTTTTTATCGATTATCTTGCACGTGCAATTTTTTATATTAATTATTTGATAATTTAATCTTGAATTGCAACAATATATATATTTTGCGTTTCAACTACTTATTCAAGTTAATTTCGCATCATTTAAAATTGACGACGTTTTGGTCT